TAGTGGAGACCCCCAGGGTTCAGTGCTGGATCTGCTACTGCTTCTTATGTGCATAAAAGAATTGGTCCTTTTATTTAAGGAGCCCTCCTATATTTTTGCTGATGGCTTCAATTTTGTTAGCAAACGTGACTGGGTTACTCTATCTACAGATGTGGATCCCGTTTTTAAATGGTCACACTCATGGTATCTGCCCTTAAACACCAGCAAATGTCAAATCTTGACTCGATGTGGCGAAAATGTTGTACTGCGAGCACCTCTTGGCTCCCTGACAATGCAATGTGTTATCGACGCATTTAATCTTGGCATCCTTGTGACGAATAAATTCAAGCCTTCGGCGCGATGTAAGCCTGCTACTAATAATGCACGACAAGAGTTATTTCGGCTTAGTAAAGCCCTGAGCTGTACTAGGCCAGAGGTCTTTTTCCCCTTGTATAAAGCGGTGGTCAGACCAAACGAGGACTACTGTGTTCAGACTTGGGCGCTCTTCTTGCCGAAAACCGTAACTTATATTGCGAATGTGCAGAGACTGGCCACTCGAATGATAGAAGGCCAGCGGGGATTGTCTTATGAGATTCGGTTAGGCAACCTAATATTTTACTCAATGAGGAGACGCAAATTGCAAGGGGACCTAACAGAGACCTTCAAGATCATGTGGGGTCTCAGCGGCCTCAGGCCAACCGATCTCTTTGAACCAGCTTCGGATAACTCCTTGAGGTAGTGGATAACGGGCCGGAACTGTTACCTTCTTGCGAGCGTGGTAGTTTCCACATGGTCGCCAGTCTCCTGACTTTTTCGGCACCATGTGAAGTGGCGAAGACCACAAGCTGTTGAATGGTCGGACGATCCCAGTTTCGAGCATGTGCTCGCATTTCGCACGGGCGTTTTTGAGCTTGTACGGAGTCAGTTTTCAAACTTTGGCGGAGATGGGCGGAACTTCGGTAACTATTTGATGCGGTGTAATTGCGGCGGCGATTGACATAAGCGACGCAGGTCGGAAGACTTCTGGGAAACTCTCAGGTAGCGATTTGCCGGCCGGTGAGTTGGCGGTAGCGTACATCGGGCTGAGCGACGCTACACCGCTGGATATTCCGGCGACGGATAGTTCCGTTTTCTGATCAATGAGACGTCGTTTAGCGTCGACGAGCAAGTCGAATTGCTGGAGAAAATCCATCCCGTTTATGGGCTTTTGGACGTCAGCGACGAAAAAATCTATCGAAAGGTACGTCGCAGGTCGAGGTTAGGCGTGCGCGAGCGCTGACCGTATATGCGATTGCTGGTGCCGCTGGCTGCGCGTAGAGAACCATTCACCTTTCCGTTTTCGTCGTTAAGATCACAGGGAAGGACATCGACTTTCTGCACCAGTGTCGAAGGCATAGCGAACTCTCGTTTGTCGATCGCTGACGAAGAATAGGCGACTGTTGAGCACCTACGTCCGTCTCACCTACATGCGCAATTTGAAACAGCAGAGATCTAGACTCGATATTAGAGCCAACTTCTTCTCAACTCGTGTTGTGCCTATTTGGAACTAACTTCCTTCTATATTATTTGCATTGTAAAACGGTAGAGGACTTCAAACGAGGCCTGGACGAAGTGTGGTTAGCCCTATTCCACGAATTTTTGTGAATACCTATTTTAGCCCTTAACCACAGCCAGATAGCCCATGTAAATGCAGTGACATTTGCTGTGGCTTACATTCCTTGAAACGAAATCTCGCAAGCGGACTAATAAGTCTGTCAGTTCACTTACTGGAAGCTTGCCATCTCCTTCTCAGTCTCTTGTCATTGACATGGTATCAATATTTCTCATAGACTACACGCATTCCGTGTGTCTAGGAGTCATGAGGCGTGTGATCAGTCTCTGGCTACACGCCCTGCTTGGTCGCTTTTGTCGTCTGAACAGTGGTCTTGTATATGGCTTAACAACCAACCTCTTAACCAACCGTGCGTCATGGACGCGAGATTTCACACGGAACTGTATAGGCGTTCGCGTCTTCATGCGATGGCAGTCTGTGGAGTTTCGATAGTTTCTCTTGTACGAGGTTCCAGCGATTATGAAGGCCTCTTTTAATGAGACCTACTACCGTAACTTCCTGATCTACTGTGCTATCCTAGGCCCGATAAGGAATATGTTCTATTTGCCGAACGCGTACTATCTGAGTTTACGGACAAGTTTTATGGCCTTTGCGGGAGCCATTAATAGACCTTTAAGGTGCACTTCGTCCCACACTCGTTTGGGGATTAGAAATTACACGGCACATTGGATGGTATTTCCGTCTTCCCATTCGAATCACACATTTACCAACCGAAGAAATTATTGCATAATGCCGTGTGACCGATTGCACAGATGAGCGGAAGAGTTATTGGATAGTGAAACAAGCTGCAACCGGCGCCCGAAGCAACGCCAGTTGACGGTTCACAATTCGTTAGATATCAAATGCAGGTGGGATTCCGCTTGAACGGAACCATGTACCTGCTGTTTAGCCCGGACAACGAAATACTGACTGGCGGAATTACCTACAGCATAGTTGCCGTCCATCCAACTTCTGATTACGACGTAGACGTAGAGTGTCATCTTTTTACGGAACTAAATGACTTGTGTACACGTAGCACGTGTTTCTCCGAGATTTACATCTTCCAGGCTTCCGGCTTACAGGAATGTACGGTACACATAAGGATATCGGACATCGGTAGCAAGTACATACGATTCACCTCTGAACCATCGACCATTATCATTAGGTTGCTACATATATTTTTAATAAACCAGCGTAAAGCCTTACGGAGTTACCTTTTCCTCACATTGCGCATCGCTGTGAAAGTCGTTCAGGACACTTCACCTTACGCAATCTTTCCTCAGTAAGTGGACTTGCCCGTCTATTGCACTTTAATCGCGATGTCTTTTGCACGTTGTTTTCAGCAACTTCATTACCTTGTGTCCATATCCAATGTGCACGCTTACGTACTGCGTGGTACGTTTGGAAGATCACGGGATTAGCCGCATCACGTGGCTCCTAACTAATGACTCAGTGCTGTATTGCCCTCAGTCCCCATACATGAGTATCACAATGCTGTACGGCTACACAGGAAACATCAACTTGACGACGTATGACGCTTCTTTACGCGCAGCCGATTTTCAGAAGGTGTTGCTCTCTACATGGGCACAGAGAATCGCTGCAGGGGGAAGATGCGGACGGTACCTTTTTATGGAAAGTCCCCAAAATGACCAATGCGTCAACGTTGCGTCATCTCACATTTCCACTTTGATTTTGCAATGAAGATGTCGTCCAACGAACATTGGAAGGCCCCCAAAACGGCGGTAATGAGCTTCTCCCACATGACAGAGTCGTGGACTTGAACTACCCCAATGATATGCCTTTGCTCCGAAACGATTCACAAGCCGTCCAGAGCGCTCTGAACCGCTTAGCAATCGGGGCATCTAAGTATGGCCTGTGTTTCACCTCTGACAAATGTAAAATACTACTCCAGGATTGCCAGATCTCTGTGCTTGCCCTCACCATTCCTGGTGTCGTCCTGCAACAAGTCCACCGCTTCACTTATCTACGGAGTTGCATCACACCTGACGGCTGTATTGGAGATGGGAGCTCACAACAAATCGCAAACGACCGCCTTGCATTCATCAGACTGAGACACTTATGGCGTCGTCGCGATGTCAGTCTCAAACTCAACGGCAGGGTATACATTGCCTCTGTCCGTGAGGTCCTCTCGTACAGCTGCGACAAATGGCTGACTCGCTCGGAAGACATAAAACAATCGGCAGTTTTCGACAATCCTTATCTGTGTAGGATTGCTCGCGTGTGGTGACAGCTTCACATGAGTAACGCAAAAGTCCGAGAGCGGGAGTTTGGAGCAAACAACCCATGCCTTCAAACGGTTACCGTCTGACACCGCATGCGTTGGCTCGGCCAAGTATTGCACATCGCAGCTTATCACTTCCCCGTCCAGCGTTATTTGCGTTACCCGGAAGCGACTGGAAAATGTGCCGCGGTGGACAACCAATGATATGGAGAAAGAGCATGAAGAATGCAGTCTCAAGCGCTTAGCATCCGTCGGACCGGTCCGCCTTCCAGGATGGGAAACCCATGATTCCGAATGCCATGGCGCAGCAACAGGCATCAGTGGAGACAGTGTTGTACAACCGCGTTATCCATTAGTTAACGTCTCATCGAGCATAAAACGCAAAAAATCTCAAAACGGCGTGTGTTAAACTGAATAAGATCGTTTTTCTTCACATGTTGTGTCTCATTTCCATCCTTTAGTTCACCACGATTCTGATGACACATTATCTGTAATCAGATTGTGAATACATATACACGAACCCTACTACATCTGCCATAACATGACCAAAACGGTAATCGACAAACTAGTGCGCGAACTTCCACCTGTACAGCGTAAACCATGTCAACAACTGATACAGTAAAGAAGTTACATGGGCAGCTCCTCCAGCGACGAGCGCAGACAGGCCAAAGACCGATGCCAGACTGTGAAACCCTGTAGGTGGGTCTCCGGGGTCAAAACAACATATTGGCTAAATCCACGCCAATCGTAACATGTAAAGAAGCAGCAGCCTCCGTGTGCTAGACACTATGCCGCAAACTTCGCAACCCTCTTCCACACGTGCACAGTCTCTTACACCGGAGAGAACGGTAACGGAATGACTGCCGAGAAATAACCCTTACAACTTCTCACGGTGCATCTTCAGGAACACCAGTGGTACAGAACAGAGATCGCTTCCAAACTCAGCAAGCTAAGCATGTCACGACTAAAGTATGTGGCTAGATTTACAGAGGAACGAACAAATACCTGAATACGTCAGACCTCCAAGTCCTCACATGCATAGACGACACAGGGACAACAAAGAGATCTAATTGTTTGTGCCACTGGTACTTACTCAGTCCTGCTGTCCCGACACGGCACTAAACTGTAATGTAACCCATCCGCGGACAGGAGAGCAACGATAGGCACTTGCCTGAACAGACATCGGGCTTAACGACAAGTGGGCCCGAACCGCTGAAAAGAAGGAAGACATGACGAGAATGAAACAGAAGACATTGCGATTCCCAATGCTCAGAAAATATTCGTCACCACAATTCTGACGGTAACTCCATATTTCATCACACAAACTAATCCACACTACACATCACGACCAGTAGGAACAAACTGACAAACCAAAAGGACATGCAAAAAACGCACCTCACCAATGTCCACGGCTCCACCAGGCATAGCAGCAGTGCCCATGCAACGATGAACCATCTGCTGCTCACACCTATTCGCAGCGATGAGTCCCACAAACACGAGTCTGAAACCGAACACAGAAATAAGGTGAAATGGGGCCCACAAGGCGAATCAGCTCTCATAATCAATATCACAACGACGCTCAGATAATGACTTGCTGAGTGCACGGTTCGCATATCACAATGGGACAGTCGAACCGTGAAACAGTAAGCCACACTCTGCAACGCACATCATGCGAGGGGTTACATCAAGGATGAAAACGCACGCGACAAATGCCACTGAGATGAGCGCGCTCCGGAGTAGTCCCCAGCTTTCCGTCGCCAATACGCAAACCTGGTCTGGTGGTCTGCGATTCATCACAATTACACCCCACGCATGTGAATGCCGTTGTTGCTATCACCTGCAAGAAAGTGAACACAAAAGTGATGCATAGCAAAAACAAAGTTGGCACATTTTCGCAAGCAAAACAGAGGAGCAAAAAGAACACCAAACAACTGAATGCTGCTAGGCCACCATCATCGATTTCTATTCTAACCATTGTGGAACCGTCTACCAAGCACACGTGTGGCGAACAAGTTTGTAACCACCTTGTAGAAGCTCTGCAGTCACACGTCGGGCAAAGCCAGGACGTACGGCACGCTTGCCACTTCGTTTACTTTCACCAGCGGCGTGCGTCAACGTTGCGTCATCTCACATTTCCACTTTGATTTTGCAATGAAGATGTCGTCCAACGAGCATTGGAAGGCCCCCAAAACGGCGGTAATGAGCTTCTCCCACATGACAGAGTCGTGGACTTGAACTACCCCAATGATATGCCTTTGCTCCGAAACGATTCACAAGCCGTCCAGAGCGCTCTGAACCGCTTAGCAATCGGGGCATCTAAGTATGGCCTGTGTTTCACGTCTGACAAATGTAAAATACTACTCCAGGATTGCCAGATCTCTGTGCTTGCCCTCACCATTCCTGGTGTCGTCCTGCAACAAGTCCACCGCTTCACTTATCTACGGAGTTGCATCACACCTGACGGCTGTATTGGAGATGGGAGCTCACAACAAATCGCAAACGACCGCCTTGCATTCATCAGACTGAGACACTTATGGCGTCGTCGCGATGTCAGTCTCAAACTCAACGGCAGGGTATACATTGCCTCTGTCCGTGAGGTCCTCTCGTACAGCTGCGACAAATGGCTGACTCGCTCGGAAGACATAAAACAATCGGCAGTTTTCGACAATCCTTATCTGTGTAGGATTGCTCGCGTGTGGTGACAGCTTCACATAAGTAACGCAAAAGTCCGAGAGCGGGAGTTTGGAGCAAACAACCCATGCCTTCAAACGGTTACCGTCTGACACCGCATGCGTTGGCTCGGCCAAGTATTGCGCATCGCAGCTTATCACTTCCCCGTCCAGCGTTATTTCCGTTACCCGGAAGAGACTGGAAAATGTGCCGCGGTGGACAACCAATGATATGGAGAAAGAGCATGAAGAATGCAGTCTCAAGCGCTTAGCATCCGTCGGACCGGTCCGCCTTCCAGGATGGGAAACCCATGATTCCGAATGCTATGGCGCAGCAACAGGCATCAGTGGAGACAGTGTTGTACAACCGCGTTATCCATTAGTTAACGTCTCATCGAGCATAAAACGCAAAAAATCTCAAAACGGCGTGTGTTAAACTGAATAAGATCGTTTTTCTTTACATGTTGTGTCTCATTTTCATCCTTTAGTTAACTACGATTCTGATGACACATTATCTGTAATCAGATTGTGAATGTTATGGTTTCGGCTGACCTACCGATGACCTGCTGCTAGCGTGCACTCCGATCAGCACGACTTCCCAAAGCAGGAGACCGGCGTACGGCTGGCAAGTGTATTTGCTTAACGTCCAACTAACGGTACATTCAATTTATCGCCAAATCAATAGCCCTCAGCGTGAAACGCTCTCATTGGCTGGTTCCGTCCCATTAACACCTTCCCCCGCAAAAGTTGACATAAGACTTCATTTTTGGATCCAACTGCATTCTTACGACAGGTCTCCGTAGTCGATCAGTACAGCGCCGGGTCTGGACCTTCGGTTCCTCTGAGACTTCTGTGCGGGATGCATCCGAATTGCTTTGGGGATTAGATGGCATGTCGAAACTCTCTAGTAGAATATCTAACGGTAGTAACCGAGCGCTTGTGCCCGCAGGGATGCTAGTTGGTCGCAGCTGATTGGAATGCCTGGTCCAAATCAAATTACCCACATTAACCTCATATAGCACCTGTCCAATAGTTCTCCGGATCGATCCTACCACCCATTGCTGGTTTCCCGCGCGATAGTCTCTTACTAAGACACGCTGTCCGGGGTAAAAGCGGCGTGCTTGAGTTCTGTGTCGCTCGTTGTAGTACTGCTCCATCCGAACGTTCCTTTCTTGCTCATTAGTACACCTCGGAGTTAGCACGGAATTCACAGTACGGAGTTTTCTTCCCATTAGTGCTTCTGCCGGCGACAACTGGTTTGGTACTTGGGGATTTGAAGTTGATCTGTACACGAGCAAAAATGTATCAAGTATCTCCTGTGTGGTTCCCTCCCCCCGCATCTTTAGTAGCGATCGCTTAAACGTGTCGACGAAGCGCTCTGCTTGTCCATTTGACTGAGGGTGAAACGGTGGCGAACGTAGATGCGTGATACCATGCTGTGCGCAGTATTCGGCAAATTGGGAAGAAGTGAACTGAGAACCATTGTCAGTGACCAAGGTTTCTGGTATTCCGTGTTGACTGAAAAGTCTCCTCAAAATGTTAATTGTTGCACCACTTGTCGCACGCTCCATATAGAAGACCTCAGGCCATTTACTATAGGAATCAACAACTATTAGGTACTGCTGACCGTTTAGGGGACCAAAGAAATCAGCGTGCACGCGTTCCCACGGTTTTGTTGCCAACGGCCAGGAAGCTAAGTCAGCTTTTCTCGGTGCCTTACTAGCAAGCGCGCATCTGGGACATGACTTTACTAGTTGCTCGAGTTCCGAATCAATGTTTGGCCAGTAGACAAAACTCCGAGCAATGCTTTTCATTCTGTTAATTCCAGGATGTGCCCGATGAAATTGCTGAAGGACTCTTTGGCGAAGTTCTTTGGGTATGACAATTCTCTCGGCCAAAAGTAAACACCCATTTACGATCGAAAGTTCGTCCTTTCTCCGAGAGAGAATTTGTACCTCTCCGGATAGAGTATCACTTGGCCACTGCGTAGTGTGAAATTTAATTACCTGGCGCAAGAGGGGATCTCGCACAGTTGCGTCACGTACCATGTCGAACGTCACGGGAAGCTTCCTAAAATTCTCCATCAAGACCTGGTTGACCTCTGATTCAAGGGAGATTGCTGCAATTATAGATTCTTGATGCTGATGCTGTTGTAACTCAAATAACCGAGAAAGTGCGTCTGCTTGACCTATGTCCTTTGTAGCCGTGTACTTCACCGCAAAATCATAGGCGAGTAAGGCCGTGGCCCAACGCTGCAGTCGGTTCGCGGTATAAACGGGTATACCGGACTTTGATCCAAATATGGTTAGGAGTGGTTTATGGTCGGTAAGCAGGGTAAACCTCCTGCCATACAACATTTTGTGAAATTTCTTTATTGCAAAGACTATCGCTAATGCCTCTTTCTCTATCTGCCCGTAATTCTTTTCGGCTGGCGACAGTGATCGAGCTGCGTGTGCGATCGCTTTTTACGATCCGTCAGCAAACTTATGAAAGATAACTGCACCCACGCCATACTTCGAAGCGTCTGCCGCCACCACGATTTCAAGTGTAGGGTCGTAATGTGTCAGCATGAGGTCAGAACACAGCATTCGCTTCACCTCCTCAAAGGACTTCTGACAATCTTCGGACCAATGCCAACGTTTGTCCTTGGTGAGTAACTCATTGAGTGGTCCACGCACGCTGTGCATATGTGGCAGAAATTGACTGTAATGACTGACGAGTCCTAAGAAGGACCTCAGAGTAGGCACATCTTTGGGAGGTGGCATCTTTTTTATAGCATCAATGTTTGACGGATCTGGACGTCTACCGTTCTTGTCAATTATGAAGCCAAGAAAATTAATGGAGTCCATGAAAAACGTGCACTTTTCTGGGCGAAGTCTAAATCCGTACTCTTGTATGCGATCAAGTACTAAGTGCAGCTTTCTGAAAAGGTCATCTGGGTTAGCTCCGACGACAATGATATCGTCCAAATATGCGGCAGCACCATCTACATCTGTTAGCATAGTATCCATGATTTGCTGAAAAATTGCTGGCGCGGACTTAACTCCGAATGGAAGTCGATGATACTGATACAAACCTCGGTGCGTATTTATCGTCAGTAATTCTCTAGAAGCTTCATCAACTTCTATTTGTAAGTACGCATCCGATAGATCTAGCTTGGCAAAACACTGACCCCCATTTAGTCTCGAAAACAAATCATCTGGGACTGGCAGAGGATACTGATGCGTGTGTAACGCTTCATTCAGCCCAGTAGAAAAGTCGGCACATATTCGGATCTGGCCGTTCGGCTTCTTGACAACCACAATTGGAGCCGCCCAAGAAGAGTAGTTCACTGCATAGATAACCCCAAGTTTCTCCAAACGGTCAAGTTCTTGGTCAACAATTGGGACTGCTGCGTAAGGTACTGGGCGCTTTGCACGGAAAACAGGAACAGCATCGGGTTTTAAGGACAATGAGGCTTGCAACTTTGTACACTTACCAAGTCCTTCACGGAAAACAGGTGCATATTTCTCTCGAATTTGTTCGATTGCCATTGCCTTGGGGACTTTTGGTTTGTGTAAGTGTACACTTGCACAGATTTGATTAATGGGAACATCTAAGAGGTTGAATCGCTCAATCCAGTCTAATCCAAGGAGGTTCAAATTCTTGTGTGTTGTGACGAAAATAGTTCCCCAAGCGGTGAAGTTGGCAAAACGACACTCACATTCAATCTGACCGATCAAGTTTAGACTCGTACCTGATGCGCTCTTCGCTTTATGGTTAGTTGGTTTAATGTCAGGTGAACCGATAGCTTTCCATAAGTTTTCCGTAATGACTGTAATATCGGAAGCCGTATCAATCTGCAGACGCGCTACTCTTCCGTTGATGGTAATAGTGACGAACTTTCTTCTATCTTTAACATCGTCCGTATAGTTAGCGTTTACTCTTGTCGCGAACCTTCGGTAACCTGCTTTTCGAGTATCACATGACGATCTAAATGATGTTTTGAATCTGCAGTGGGTCTCCTTGTGCCCCCGTCTAAAGCACCTTTGACAAACATGTTTGCTGAAAGGACATCATCTCACAAAATGCCATCCTCCGCATTGCCAGCAAGATGATGGGGGTTTGGATTGTGGATATCTGCTA